ATTTAGCACAGGGACTGGACACTCAGGTTCTTTGACACCCCCCTCCCATTAATTAACTCTTTATTGAATGCGGCTTATAGTAATTACAAATGCAGTAATTTCACCTGACTTCTAATAAAATTTACAGGAAAACTAGCCTAACTCAATGACACCATCTGCATATTTGCCTTAAGTAAAGCTTTGTTACAGCCTGTATACGTTATCAAGCGGTGTAGTCTCAGGAAAGCTATCTGAGAAAATGGCGGGAAATGTACGTTGTACATACAGGAACCTTGCTAGAGGACCCCCCCCCCCCCAAATAAAAATATGTAAATAATTTGGTAAGAAGACTGAGAGACCCCTTGTAACCATGCATGGAAATAATAATGTGCTGAAAGCAATATATATAAAATAATTTAGAATTTAGCAAGAAATAGATAATTGCTATACACGCATCTTAGCCCCCTTAGAAAATCCTTGCGCCCAGCACCCCTCCCTCCTGTAACTGTTTGTGAAAAAGGTAGGTAGGGAGGGGTGAACTCAAAGACGCAAGTTTCCAACCCCACCCAATTATTTGCCTACAAAATGTGTAAGGTGGTGAAAAGCACATAGTTCGGGGGGTCTCTGATGTTTTCTTACCTAAGTGGGGTTAGGGGATCTGAGTCTCCACACAATTTATGCCTAGGCAGTGAGAAGGGCGTGGCTGAGGGTCTCCTCTCCACTATCTTACAAACATTATATATATAGAATATTTTGGGAAGTAAAGGCAGCTGGCATGACCGCACAGCCACTCTGGTGCTTATTGGTCTATACAAATCTGTTTGTAGCACTATATGTATGACGCATCATTGGTCCGTTAATTGTTGAATTATTGTTGTGTATAGTTCTGCTTTGTTTTTTTGAGATCGTCTGACCTGCAGTGCACGGGCTTTAACAAAATATTCTTCCAATATCGCACAGCACCAAACTCTAGTCACAATCATCAAGTGGCTTTCTGACTAGTCAGAATTATCAAGCTTCTTCATATGAGGCAATCTCCATCAGTTTCGCTTGATATACTTTTTTTTTTAGTTTGAATGTATGTGTTTTACCAGCAAGGAAGGATGTGTAAAGAAAAGAATGCAGCATCTCTTTAAGTCTGTTAACTGGAGCAACTGACACTTGAACTATACAGCATTTACTAATGGAGACAGACAAGCACGTGACAGGGGCTGTAACCAAAACAATAAACTTTGCTCAAGGGTCTTCAATATTTTCTCAAAGTTAACTCTTTCAGTACTATTACTTTACTTCACTGTAAGTTTCTATTTCAAATTATAAATGCCTGGGTTTGAAGAGCTAAGATAACACTTAGGGTAAGAAGAAATTTTTAAAAATTCATACAAAGCGGAATAGTATCACAACTGGGTGGACCATAAGGGGTTTAGAAAAGTATCAGATCACCTAAAATATGTAGTGAGTTGCTGGGCGCTGAATGAGTGAACCTTTCAACAGTTGTGTTAACATATGTTGTACCTAATTCACACACATGTATGATGTGGTCATGTTTTACAAGTCCAGTATAACCAAACATTTTAATGCTCCGCTCTATTATTAGTGTAGGATCTGTTTGGTCCCACTCAGACTTGCTTATCCTACTGATTCTCAGTGGAATCTCTCCTGGTAATCTTTTCTGAAGAAATCCAGGTAACAAGCACTTAGGAAAGAACAGAAAGAAAGTACTACAAAACTAACATACAGAATATGGAAAGGACAAGCAAGCTGCTGCAGAAGGTAAAAAAAAAATAGCACAGCTTGGCATGAGGCGGTGGACACAAACAATATTTGGGCTTAAATTACACGAAGGAGAGAACTGTAGTTTTAGGGCATTCTCACCAGTGGGTCAAACCATCTCACCTGTTCTTTAATAATATGCTAAAAAAAAGATGATTGCCAATTTTTTAAAGCTGCCTTTGCCTTATTCAAAACATATCAAATACCCGCTTTGGCTGCCAAAGGAACTTTTAAGCATCCTCTAATAAACCACAACTTTGAAGCTTCCATTTTCTTTTAACTTGGACTACTAAATGTCCAGGATTCATAGCTATATCTAAAAATGGGTCTAAGCAGCATTCAAGAACTACCCTCCAATTGCACACAAAATAGCTGAGACATGTAATAAGGAAGAGTCAAATGACAATGAATGGTACAGTAATTTTTAATATCGCAACACTGCATCTCAACATTAACATCTGTTCTATCTCAATAATCCACCACAAATTATGTCATGGGACAGTCCAATATTTTTGAGGGTGGTAAGAGCAAGTTTCCTTGCTTTCTGTGTCACATCTAACCAACAATTTATATGAACATAAGGACACTGCTAAAAAAACCACATCTATAATACCATAATTAAATGTCTTGCCAGGGGCAGGGCAGATTCATTATGTGGCAAATGCTGTATAATACAAACATGTTTTTAATTTTACTATGTAATGGATATACATAAAAATGATAAAATCAGGACTGCCCAGATAAGCATATACTAATAAACAAACTAGGGAGATCTGGTGTAGTGGCTAGCATGCACATTTACACCAAGCTGGATGTTTTATGTGTTTTTGGCTCCCTGGTCTATTCAGCCTAAATGAGTACCAGGAAAAGGTTCTGGGAAGCAAAGGTGGCTAGCAAGATGTTGATCATATCACCCATCAAGTGCTGATGTCTATTAATAAAATACAGCTCTAGTTGTATATACCCAATATGCCTTAGTGCATGGAAAATGTTCACTTACCACAATAAACAAATCATACCAACACAATGAAGCACAGAACAGTAGTAGTATCTCATCCTGCTGAAACAAAATCTGGCAAATTACTAATAGAAAGACCTTTAAAAATAAAAACACTACAGCACAGAAGGGATAAAAGGGACACCCTGGTCATAGTGGTTCTCTTTAACATTTGGAGAAGACAGAAGAGCAAAATACATGATGCGTCCCTCTGAGCTAGAAACGCAAAAAAGAAAATGTCCTCTTGACCAGGCACAATTTATTTGCAAAGAACCATCTTCATGACCATTTCTACTCGCCAGCACTGCCTTAGAGGGGCTAAGGATAGAAAGAATTTTAAAAAATATGCAGTTTGAGAACCACTTGCAATATCAACAAGGATGAGACTTCTAACCCATGTGAGTAAGTAAAACAACACACCTGTTAACTGTGGAAAGCCTGGTTATGCATTCATATAAGGAATGATCTTAGAGATATGCCTCAACGGCATAACAGACAGGAGCCACACACTGTACTGGATACCATTTTACACTTGTCTGACTGCACCAATGGGCTTGTTGACAACTTCCAATTCCTGATAACTTGTCCATTGGCTGACTGCGGAAAATGTTGCTAGCTCTTCCCTATGCCAAGCTGCTTTCTTGTGACCAGCCATGCTTCACATCAGCTCAACAGCAGTCACACACACAAGAGAAGATGCTTGACAGTCTTGTTGCATGGCATGGAGGTGTGGCGGCACACAAACTGATACATGCTGCAGGAGATCGCAGATTATGGAGAGGCATGGTCACCCACACCAGCCGGCAAGGCACCTGATGATGATTATTGGTGGGAGTATGAAAAAATGGAGGCGCTGGTTCAGCTATTATGCTGCAAGATAGAACTGCATGAAAAAAAAAAAAGCAAAATTGTTTTCCTGTGTGACTCAGATAACAAAATGGCTCTTCAGTGTATCCCGGGTCAGAATGGCATACCTGGCAATAAGTCAGTGGACAAACTTGCAACAAAGGAGAAACAACACACCCATTCATTGTTTTTACCTGAATTTTTAACAAAGGAAAATACAAGGAATTGTGGAAAGAAAAAAACCAACAGCAAACATCCACAACACCCAGTCAGCTGACTCAACTACCACCTGCAGACAATAAAGACTGTTCAACCCCCACGATGTACCTTACACACACCTGAGCACATTCTGCAGACCTGACCATTCTACCTACAACTTCAACAAGAAACGTGGCCTTAAAAGCAAAGTGTGCAGAGCAAGCTATGCAGAACCATGAAGGTCCTGCAAGTTCACAGAGGTAACCCACCTGATCGCGTCACCCTAGCATACAAAACCGAACGCAAAGAAGAGTTTAAGAGACAGTAAGACAAAAATTCTTTGACAATGATTCGAGGCAGCCAAAGTACCACATAACCAGGTTTGCATTGGAAAAGCTCATAACATTCAGCACCTATTATTCTACTATCTACCAACGTACAGTACATTAAATATCTACCTACAACAGGACATTCGTTTATGAATCAGTGAGCGCAATGATCCCCTGAACAGTTACACATTGAAAAAAAATAATTACCAGAGACTAAGATCCCTTAAAGTGCACAAAATCGTTATTTATAGCCCTCTCAGGGAACACTCTATGTTATGTAAAACCATTTCAAGATTAAATAAATTCTTAGCTAACACATTTCAGATAACTGGCGTCCACAGATTGTGACTGAACACTGACATTTTCAAAAAAAAAAATGCAGCAACATTTTATAACAAAGATTTATGAAAAATGCCTTGTACAACTGTGCATGAACATCCCCCCCCCCCCCCCCCCCCAGAAAGCGGCCTCAAGAAAATTATATGCAGATAAAAGTACAAATCAAAAAATGTGGCTGATAGGTTATCATAACTATTACTTGCCAACACACAGGATACTTTTCAAATTTAAACTACTAAAAGAAATAAGAAACTTAAAAACAAAGTTGATTAAAAACACCCTGCCTGATTATCCTACACTACGCACCTAGATGCACACAAGTATTTTATTTTAAACATTTAAAATCTGTGGGTTTCAGGACCCCATCATGGGAAAAACAAAAGTCTGCACACAAATAAGCCAGATCTGTACACAACACTAAAGTTTTGGAACAAGACAGGACATTTCTGGAGGTGAACGAATACCCAGGACTTTCTGCTGGGTTTACAGCCGGTGAACGTGAAGAAGAAGAATCCAAGAACTACTAAAACATAAATATGCTAATCTGACTCAAAATCAGAGAGAACAAAATCTTCGACAACATCATCTTCATCTGCGACATTTTCTTTCTGTGCAGGCTTTACAGCAGACACTTTTTGTGATGTTCGCAGAGTTTTGTTCTTCTTTACTGGTTTCTTCGCGGATATTTCATCATCTTCATCAACACTATCATCATCTTCCTCTTCATCATTATCCATCTCTACATCCTCTTCTTCGCCACTACTGCCGGACTGTGCGAGCTGCTCTAATTCATCATCATCAAAGTCACTATAATCATCACTTTCAGATCCTACACTCTGCTTTTCTTTACCTGTCTTTACTCTCTCCTCTTTCAAAAGGAATCTTGTCTCATCATCTGATTCTGAGTCATTCTCAAATAACTTAGAGAAATCCTCTCTTTCTTGAGGTGTAGCCTTAATTGGCTTCTTTCGGTCAATGGTAGGTATGTCAATAGCTGCCCCTGAAATAGCCTCTTTATTTGCAGCAAGATGCTGCAGCTCCCTGTCTCTTAACTTACGCCATGAAGCATAGTATTTCCTAAGAGGTGTATCACTAGCCGCCAGCTCAGACTCCCAAAGATGCACAGCCTGAAAGTCAGTCAAGTTAATGCTGGATCGTTTTCTCTTTTCAGCAACAAACTTTGAATGTTCTTGAATTTTATCCACAATCTGTTTAATCTGCTTGCAATAGTTTGCAATCTTGCACTTTTTCAGGAAGGTTTTCAGCTGCACAACGGACAAGATGATGAATTCAGGAAAACCAATAGAATGTGCCTGTATGTTAAAACTCTCTAAAAGATGTTCATACAACTGGTCGATGAGACCATCCTTGAAAGCTTTTTCACCGAGCTGAGTCTTTGAAAATTTAAGGATCACTGCAAAGTTAAATGGCTTGAGACTAATGTTTTTGTGTTTCCTGTTGAAGTCAGTCTGCTCGAAGATTTCCAAAAGAAATGGCAGCGTAGGTATAAATGTGTTAGTCTTGCATGCGAGTTGATTCAGGAGCTGTACACAATGAAACCTCAGGGGGTAATAACGTGCAGTTGGTACAAGTTTGATTGTGCCAATAATTGTTTGTGTAAGAGGATATATCAATGGTTGCAGGATCTCACTGGGGTGAGTGACCGAAAGCAGCTGGACCCAAAGACCCAGGCAATGAATGTACTGCCAGTTGTACACTGTCTGACAAGTCTCTTTCTTTTTCACAGAAATTGCATTTCTTAAATGGATGGCCAGCTGACGAAGGTACACAAATGCATATTGATATGCCACAGTTTGATCAATGTTCAACAATTCTACCAAAGAGCGCTGCATAAAATTGATAAGTGGCAGAGTTGCAGGTGATGTAAACTTACAATTGCTAACATAAGCAACATACATCTGCTTTAAACATATCTCAAGAAGTTCATCCTGTTTCATACGAACAACTTTATTAATACACAAAAAAGCGAGCACACGTGTGGTTTCTTCTCCAGTCGTCCACATTTTTATCATGCGTTTCAGGAACAATTTTGTCAGCTTTCCAAAACTAGCATAGAAGATGATTAATTTATGAATATGTTTCATGATGGCATTAATCATCACTGCCTCTGACAACTGTTCTAACAATCGAAGCAGATCCGAAATGTAACATTTCACCTGCATTTTCAACTTTTTCCACACCTGTATCTTGTCCAACTTGTCCTGCTGTAGCTCTGCCAGATTTGGCAACTGTAGAATGTATTCCAAAGTTGGAACAATCTGCGTAAGACACAATCTGACAACACTGTTGAATACAGCACCACCCTCAACTCTATATTTTAAAACCTGGGTTTGTCCTGCACCTTCAGCTTCCTGAACAGCGGCATGAAATGCAGATACCATCTCTTTAAACAGAAACTGTGATGGCTGTTTTTTAACATCAAGAGTCCATTTGTCAATCACTTTATGAGTCAATAAAATGCCACCCTTCTTTTTAACATCCTTCAGCTCTGCTGCTTCATCATCTTCATCTGTACTATCATCACTAGCAACTTCAAGTTTACCTGGCAACTTATGTACAATACCCGAACCTTCACTCTCTGAGTCTGTATCTTCACCACTTGACATTTTAAGCAATTCTTTTTCAAAACCATTTTTAGCGGACTTTTTACTTTCTTCTGCATCACTCGCCTCAGAACCGCCATCATCGTCTGAATTATCTGTGTCTGACAAATCTTTTAGATTATCCAGCAGACTTTTGTCTTGCCCTTTCAAGAAATCATAGAACTCTGGATCGGCATCTTTCAATGTAGACGCTAATGAATTACTGTTATCCCCTTGCTTTTTACCGTTGGAAATGTTACCTTTGTTCTTTGACTTGACTTTCTTCTTGGGTGTAGCTGCGGTCTCTTGGCCGTCATTTGACGGTGATTTCACATTAACAGGTTGAAGCCCAGATCTAGCTTTTTTACTCCGCGGTAAATCTGGTATTTCACACTTTGATGACGAACTATCAGATTCATTATCTAAATCAGCATTAAGAAATTCATCCACATTCATATCCCGCAACCGTTTCCTTGCTGGGGCCATGCTTGCGAGCTAGATACACAGCCAGCCACGATACCGGAAGTATACAATATGTATGTTTTATAAAAGTTACACTTAGCTTACAAAACAATGCAAGATTTTACATTACAACTAACTTTACATCATTGTATAGTATATATTAAAACAATTATATATTTGCAAAGTAGTTTATTTATTTTTGGAACTAAAAAATGTAAATATTATAACTTTTAAAAAACTGTAATAGTGTAAAAAATAATTTATATTAATAAATCTTTCGGCTAATTTAAAAATATGATCAGGATCACTTCCGTGATTAAGTTAGTGACAGATCATCGTTCCCCGGACTTAGTTTGTTGGAACGTTCAAGGGGTAGGTTACAGTAAATACTTCATAAAGCTCTAGATTTGGGCATTTTGGAAGACGCTGGGTTAGTCCCTCCAAGACAGGGCTGTACAATTTGGTTTTGATAGCTATTTGAGAAAGAACCGACTTAAAACATGACTTTAACGTAATTTTTGCTTCCTTGTTTTGGGCGTTATTCTCCGGCTAAAAAAAAATAAGATGCAATCCGTGCCCCTCATAAATCCACACACAGAAGGGGAATCCTTGAGGGCATAGAAATGTTATATATATATATATATTTATATATATATAATATAAAAAGTATTGATTGACATTTATAGAAAGATAGGACACACTAGACAACATAAAATTCGAAAGCCAAAGAAGAAGTATAGGGATTTTAAATCATTTTTGTCAAAATTTATATATTGGGTTTTTTACTTTTAAACCAAGACAGCTGAATAGATGTTGAAAAACCGAGTCTAACGGTACCTTAATGAAGTCTGTATGTCAATTCTAAGCAGAGGTATTAACATTTCAGTGACGGAAATTGCCCCCAAAAATTATAATGGAAAACACAGAAACAAGATGGCGGCATGTTTCCAAGTGAAAACTGGACCTAAATTTATCATGTTTAATGTCAATAACTCTTACGTTTTTTGCTGAACCCCTTAGCAACCATATGCCATTGCTTTCAGGGCAGCAAGCTCTAACTAAAGTTGTTGCCTTTTTAAAAATGTGGGTTCTCCTTGCAATAGCGGTTGCTACTTGGATGGCAACGGCCGCTTAGTTGGAGTTCAGTCTCCTGGGGCTAAACTAGATGGCTGGGACTCACGAGCAGCAGCTACTGCAACTTCCTCCAATTAATTTGCTTGTGAGTCCCAGGCATCTAGTTTAGCCCCCCATCCGCAGCGCGTGTTTTGCGGCATGCCCAAAAATTTGAGGGCAACAGCGACGCTAATCTGCGTCAGTGCACTTGGCTTGGTCTCCCCGCCATGTAGCTTTTATTGTCTGCAGAAACGCTTGAAAGTGTCAACAGTCGCTATTATCGCTTGCTACTATTGTCTGCAGTGTTGCGTCTCTTAAAATTGTCAGGTAATCAGAAACAGGTCCGCAATTAACATATCACTGAGACCGTGTTAGAGCATTTGTTTCGCTATACGCAGACAATCCTAGTTTTGCTGCGGTTCGTTCGCCGAAATTCACATATTAATAGGACTGAGCCCTGTAAGGATATTTGTTCGGCCGCCATGATGCCGGGATAGAAGTTCGGAGGAGAGCAGAGTGTCCTAATTACAAAATTCAGTTCATGGAGGAGTAAACTCCTTACATTTTTTACATCTTTTTCTGCATTTGCCCTTAAAAGGGTGGTTGGTATGTTCTTTTGTGGCTTACTGCTAAGCCACGATATCTGCACCCCACCCCCATTTCAAAAATGAAAGGATAAAAACTGTCCTTGGAGGTGGGTGACATGAGCCTGAATATTTAAGGCAACAGGGCTTGTGCAGTTGCCATGAACTGTGCTGTTTGGATTAACACGTCTCATTTCAGCCAACCCTTAGTTAGTCACATTTTATTACATACTTTTATTCAAAAGCAGTTGGTCTATTGTTTTTACCCTATACTAGAAAGCCACTGTGGTGTAGTGGCTGGACGCTCACCTGGAGATCTGAAGGTTGTGGGTTCAGGTCCCGCTAGAGCTTGACTTTTTTTTCTCAAAAATTAACTTGGCTTCCAGGTTGACCAGCTTTATATGGGTACCAGGTAGATTCCTAGGAAATGAAGTCCTCCAGTGTGTTGATTGGTCTGTAAAATATAGATCTAACCCTATTTGCTTGAAAACGTGGTAAAGGCTCCTTTACCAGGCCCCAGTATCCACACAGGGGTCTTTTACATTTGACTCATTACATTTGCACTTCTAATGAAATCAGTCAAACTTTGATCTGTTAAAACATGTAAGCTTGTTGGGTATGACTGGTTTTGGCACCTTTGCCAGACTTGGTCAGTCACAACCAATCAGTAGCCATGGAGTTTGTACATATGTTGTCCATAGGCAGTGAAGTATGAAGCTGGTCTTTTACAAATCAAACCACCAAGTTATAAATTGTGTGTGTGTCTTTGAAGGGCTTCTTCACTTTGATCTTAGCCAAAAGGCCTGAAGCCAAGCACCAGCAACAGTCAGCTAGTACCCTTCAATATCATCGCAAAGAGATCTGGATCACACCAGAACCCAAAACCGCAAACAACGCAGCACAGCAAGGAAGCAAACAACAATAATATCAGGTGTGTCTACACACCACAAATAAAAGGAAACCATATAAGACAGCAAAGGACCCTTCTTCGATATAGCAGGCCCTCGGGCGGCTGAAAGAGGATCAAGTTTGGAATTTTTCTTGGACAACTGGCAATGGCAATGAAGGGCTTCTTATTTTCTTTGTGGAGTTATCTCAATGGAATAATGAAGTGAGATGAAAGGATCATCTATATGCTCTTTCTAATGCTTTGTAAATGTTGGTTTTCATTTCTTCATCTTGCTTTGTGTTCATTACATTTCTTCACTGTGGCATTTTATACCGGTACATTCTTATCGGATGACCAAACCATCTCATATGTTGCTGTTTAATGAATAATATGATTGTTTAAAATGCTACCTTTCTGAACATGAAAGAAATATATTAATCCTGTATACATTTTTTTTCCAGTTTTCAAAAATGGCACAACCAACTGCCGTTATTATGTTTGTAGGGATGGCTGCTCTAGGCGTGTTCATTAACTTTTCCATTCATAAAATTGAAGAAGGTAAGTGGTATTTATTTAATAACATGTGTTGTTTACTATTATTTTATATGGGCTTTAGAAATTGCTAAGAATGATCCCCTGTTCCAGTGTTCAACCTTATCCTGCTCAAAGAAATGCTTGAGAATTTACAAAATTACTGGGCAGTTGGTCTGTCCCTGCCCATTTAATATGCATCCATGGAGAGAAAAAATTCAGTTGCACTATGGCAACTGCACCTCTGCTAAAAGGCTACATAACTCGTTTAAATTCATAGTTGTCTTTTCTGTGGCTATTTATTGGCAGTGTCGCATAGACTATCCGCTATCTCATGTCAAGACCTGATATCCTTTTGCTGCCTCTTGTAGTTCCTTTCATGTCTTCCTCATATAATTCCGCCTCAGATTCTTTGCTTCTATCTTTAGGTCTCTGTGTGTCTTGTATCCCTGTTTATGTTATTTGTGAACTGTTTTGTGATCACTAAAGAAGAAAGAAACAAAAACTGTTCTTTGGCCACATAATGAGAAGAGAGATATTGGAGAACTTTTTGACAACTGGAAAGATCAGTGGGAAAAGGCAGACTGAGAAAGATGATGCTGGATGGGCTGAAGTGATGGCATGGAGGGATATATCATCAAGAAAGCTGTTCTTGGCAACTAGGGATCATAATCTGTAGAGATGCATGAGTACCCATGCCAGTTGGCAGGGCACATGATGATAATGAAAGAAGAATATCTGGACTTTTAAGCTTAAATGTTATAGGAGGAAGATATTTGAAAAAAATTGTATGTGTGTGTGTGCAAACTCAAATCAAAGTGACTGGCTCATAAAACAGTGTTTTTTTCTATTATGCTGAAATATTTCTGCCATACTAAAAACCATAGCAGTTTAGAAAGAACAGTAGTGGAGGGTGTAAAATAGTTAAAGTCGAGGTTTTACTCTTTCAGGATGACATTATTTATGGGGTTTGGGCAGTATTAATTTTTGAGTTGAATCTTTTTTTTTTTACTGCAATATGACAAAGTTTTTTCTTGAAGAAAAAATTACTGGCTGTAAAGAGACATATCATATTTCGAATTGAAGAGAAATGAATGTAGAATAAATCTAAACTTCTTAAGTGTCACACAATATTCAATGATGTTAGACACATATAACTATTATTAACACTTAGAATGTTGTGCTTACCTTACTTTTTATTTGTTCAGCAACACTGCTGTCCATTCCTAGAGTTCACATGCCTTTTCTGTTCAATTATGCATCAGCTAGTCTTTATTTTAAACATTAATTTAAATAATTTTGATATTATGACCACTTTTATATGACATCAAATTTCACAGCTGAAAAACAGCACATCGAAACAGGGATGGTTTAGTTGAAATATCTTTTCAACTTCATCCTAACCTATATTATCGGCAATAGGTTTGTCACTTGTTTTATCAGTCATAATATCAAGACTATTGTCACTGTCTTGCCTAGATTCATCATCGGCAGAGCAGTATGAACAGTTATAGACCTTTTCCCTTATCATTTGGTCTGGAAAAAATCACATACAATTTTTATCACACATAGTTAATTAAAAACAAATCAGGAAGTAATTCAAACATGATGCTGAACTTTAAGAATCAAAAGACTTCTTTTAGCTGATTATAGTTTTAAAAAACGTGTTCATACAAATTCATTTTCCCAGCAAACGAAGCAATATTAGAGTGTCTCTGTGAAGAGCCATTATGGTGGTGTTTGGTCTGAACGTGATGAATTCAGAAGCCACTAAAGTGGTGTCCGGTTAGTAAAGAGTTAATCTCTCATATGGCTCAATCTCTGCAGAAGGGCTAGCTGCCTGTAGAGCGGTGCACAAAAACAAACTCCATAGCTCCAGTTATGATCTCCCCAGATCTCTGTAAACATTGCACCTGTGGACCTAGCAGTGTGTTCGTAAAATAAATCTGTGACCTTCAGAGCAAGAGGAATACAGTTTGACCACTTCACCACTGAGACCTCCACATGGAGAGTACGGTTAGAGGAAGAAATGCAGGGATCCAGGGTGGACATAGGATGTTAGTGACACTTTGAACATGAAAGTTCTCGGGGCTAGAATGTTGACAGAGGACTCTTAACTCGTGACTTAAACAACGCAGTCCATGAACCCACAGGAAGGGGTGATTGAAAATCCTTTTGCTGAAGATGCTGATGTTAGATGACATTAAACACTCAAATGTAAACATGTCAGCATTTATGGGAACATGGTTTTTGTTTCTTCCTCAGGACATGTTGGTGTTTACTACAGAGTAAGTTTCCTGTTTGTAATGATCAGTAATCATATTTTGTACTGGTTTCCTTATCTCATTCCTTTTTTTTGTGTGTGTGTGGTGGAGGGTGGTTCGGGGTAATTTGCTATTTTAATGAGTAAAACCGTCTGTTGTCAATTAAACGTATAAAACCCATGGAGAAAAAACATTGACATGTGTTACCAAGGGCCTTAAGTAAATTAAAAAATAGTAACATGCCAAAAGAAGTGATTACCAGAGGACATTTTAACTAGTTATATGTCAGTGCATGACATGTTCCTTAGTACCCAGAAAAAGGGGGGGGGGTGGGGGTGTATGTGCTGGTTATCCCATTATGTTTTTAATTTAAAAAAACATTAACTGTAAATTTCAAGCCATTTACAAATCTAAGGGTGGTAGAAGATAGATTGGGCTTGTCATTAGTTTGTTGAGTACCTATGCTTCCCTAGGTCGATCGATCAATGTATCAGGACTGCCACCTAAAGGTTTACCATACTGTCCTGAGATTTAAAAATCTCAATCTGGATAGCAGACCAACAGATCCTAGAGACCCTGTTCAACTTCCAGCCAAGTTATAATTAGGGCGCCCATAAAAGCCACACCGGCCAGATATAACCTGCAGCCCCATGCAGGTAATGCAAGCATGTTGTAAAAGTTAACTAATTAGGTTTGTTTTCCTTCAAATCTGCCTGAGAGGCGAGAACTAACAGTCTGCATACTGAAAAGCCTGATCTGTAAAACGGATCTGAGCTCAAAACTGGTTCTGGAACAAGGCTAAGTCCAGAAGAGGACAGACATTCAAAACTTTCTAGTGGTGAACTCGAAGTAGAAAAAGAACTAGTACCTTCTTTTAACCAGAGAATTTTTCTGAAGCCCACCTTATGAGGATTGATTGGACCCAGCGCCATCTCTATGTGAGTTCTGTGGCTCCATTTTATAGAGAGAGAGAGAAAAAAGAATAGATCCACTTCACCCTGACGAGCATGTCACAAAATGCACTAATTAGGAGTTGGCTGAAATTGGATGTGTTGGGCTGTAAGCTTAGCTGTAAACCATAATCCAACATGCCGACCACCATGTTAAAGGTGAATAAAGATGAAAAACCCAGAGCCATGTGACCATTAAAAAAAATTTCACGTCAAAAAGTTTGAACCCAAGTCCACAAGGCCAGCAGCCAGAAACTCAAGGCTCTGTCTCTACAATGCTTTAGTCAGTGCATATATTAATCGTAGCAGATGGTGAATATCATTGAACGGCTAAGTTTGGAACATATTTAAATACTTACATTTGCCTCTCATTGACAGGGTGGTGCTCTACTATCCACAACAAGTGAACCAGGCTACCATTTCATGATTCCAGTGATAACATCCTTCAGATCTGTGCAGGTTAGTAACTGGCTTCCATGTTTCAGGTAGTTTTAGTGCGTTACTTGTGAGATTGCTATCTCATTTGCTTCAAAGATCTTAACTTCTACGCCTTAAGACATTTGCTGCAGGAGATGAAGCATCTATGGATATGCTCAATATGCTATCATGTCAGTTTGTTAATCTGTAATCTTCCTATTTGTTGTGTCATGTTTTAAGATTCACAGCCATACAGCTGAACAAGTTCATTACAGCTATAAATATCCAAGAATAAATAAACTTTACATAGCTGCACATCAGTGAGACACACTGACCTTTCAGTTATATTCATAATTAGGAGTGCTGCACTTCCCTTGAAAGAAGATTTGATACTGACCTTATAATCCTATGAGTGCCATTTATGGAAAAACAAGGCAATGAACATGCAGATTATCTGGAGACAGGGTGGTTACCGGTACTGGACAGGAATGATGTAATTAATACCATGGGAGCTGAGAAGATCATGACAACATGCAGGACTCAGTAACAGATTTGTAGTTACATGTGATAGTCTGTGTGTGTATGTAAATATTGCTGTGCTGATTTTATCACAGAAATCTAGTAAAACCATATTTATTAATGAAAGTTGTTATTTGTTTTCACTAGATATTTCAAAATGGAGCCCAGACTTTAAAAAAATGACCTTGGGTAGGTACCAGGTAAAGTCCTGGGAAGTAAAGTAGCTGGCGTGATGTTGACCATATTACCCACAGAGTGCAGATTGGTCTATAAAATATAGATCTAGCCCTTTATGCCCAGTTCGCATGAAGGCATGGAAAAGGGTCCTTTACTTTTTTGTTACTTACTTTACTAGATATTAGTGCTGTACCGAATATTCGCTTCGAGGTCGGAAAGTGGACCTAATAACTATTCAGTATTCAGCCGAATACAAATAGTGGTTACCTTACACCCGTTTCTGCACACACTGCGATAGACTAAAATAACTCTCTAATTAACACAATGGTAGCGGGGGCAACTGCGACCCAGTTGCGTGGTACAGCATCCAGTTTTAACATATGGCTGTGGTCTTGGGCAATCGGAAGGCAGGCCAAACAATTTCTTGAGGCCTCAGAGATGTGATTTTACAGAAGAATGCTTAAAATACTTTGGACAGCCAAAAAAAAGCAACCAAGAGGTTTTGAAAGAGGCAGGATCCTGAAGACAACTAATCACAGACATCAGAAGGAGACAGTCATTATTTTTCTTCCATGTTATGAGAAGAGGGAAAATGGAACATGTGGTGACCACTGGAAAGATCTAAGGAAGGAGGGATAGAGAAAGACAACAAGAGAATATTTTTGACAGTCTTGTTTCATTGCATGGAGGTGTGTCAGCACACGAACTAATACATACTGCAGAAGATCGCAGATTGGGGCAAGGCCCACGCCAGTCGGCAAGGCACCTAATGATGATGATATATTATTCGTATTCGGCCGAATAGTTGGTCCCGCTATTCGTATTAGGCCGAATAGTGAAAATCCCTATTCTGTACAGCCCTACTAGATATATCACATTGTGGTAGATGTGTATTGTTATTTGATAACTTAAATGTTTACTGCTGCTTTAGCTTGGTTTGTTTGATTTTTTGCAGACAACACTCCAGACGGATGAAGTCAAAAATGTTCCCTGTGGAACAAGGTAATCATTTACTGTTTATCTGTGCATATTTTTGGGAGTATAAGGGTATAAACCATGAAAATAAATGGAAGAAGAGGGGGCTGACATTACCTCTTTCATCTGCTCCTTCCCCCGTTTTCTGCTTGTTTTCTTGTTCTGTTTTTTAGGTACTTCAGTCAAATTTTTAAAATGGCTTCTACACCAATAAAACCAGCACAGTTAGATAGCTGTAAACAATCTCTTTCCAATGGTACCTCATTTAGGCTTGTATGTCATTTCTGAGTTGAGATATGTAGGTTTTTGTGGAGATGAGATGTAAGAAACAGCCGCTAAAACTTGTGACCCAGAAACAAGAAGTTTTTCTCTGCGCAACCTACTGCGCAGTTCTGTATCGGCTTTGTTGACATTGGACTGTCAATGGACAAGATGGCAGGCAATGAGACTCAGCCGCATGCGATTGCCTAAAAAATGTCACTGTAAATCTAAACAGCCAAAATCGGGAGAGAAATTTTATATACATATGTAAAATTGGACGGAGAATTCAATTATAACTAGCATTACCACATCTGGTAATGTTTAAGGCCTAAAGCCAACCTCGAATTTACCGCTATTTTCAATCAAACTGATAGACTAACAGAGGATGTACGGCTGTCATAGACATGCGCTGTTAATCGAGTTACTTCCCGCCGTTTTCAGCCATTTAGAGTGGGTGAAAATCACACCAATCGCAAAATTTCATGAGAGATTAGGACCCATCCCGAAACCCCAGCCGACATTTGCGAAACAAGTTTCGAACGGTTTCATTGGTAACGGAAATTGCCAAAAGACCGCAAATTGCCGAACACCGTAGTCGCTATGTTTTTATTTCCTTCTTTCTTCACTCAGTTCAGAAGAGAAATTTGAACTCCTAATTACTTGATATTTGTCTTTTTCAAGTAACGGTTCTTTTGATCAGATTGGTTTTTTTCTTTCTTGCCTTTACTGGCTGTAAGCTGTGGTGGAAAGTTTTTTTTTTTTTTTTTTTAATGTATTTCTGGAATTTGGCCCAAAGATCTTACTTATGTGTATGCAGACTATTGGTTCCTCACTTTTCAGGAAGATGTCCTCTGACTTTGAAGGAAATTTCTCTAATTAGTTGCCTTGTATGACATGCTTGTTAAGGAGGCAGCGGATCTTTTTTATTTTAACAGAATGTAGCCCCACAGCCCACGTAGTGAAAAATTGATTCAAACATTAGCTCTCTGGCAATGATGGAGTGATCGCTGCATGTGCGAAATGTGTTTACCTATGCTATAAATTTTGTTTACATTTTCTATCCACAGTGGTGGTGTCATCATTTACTTCGAAAGGATTGAGGTTGTCAACAAACTAGATACATCAGCAGGTAAGTGTGTGTCAGAGGGAAGTTGCTGCAGGGATTTTTTTTTTTAATCTTGATAATGTTAGAAGGAAGCTGGAGACTGACAGTTGCTTTCAGTTAACTGATGTGTTTGTAAAACATAAACTGGTATGCTACACAGAAGGTAGTTTGCATCACTTGATAGGACACGGATCACAGGCATATTGTCGATTTTCTGCCTATTGCAAGTGTCTGATACATTGACCGTTGCTGTTCCACTGCGCTTGAAGCTATTTTATAAGTTGGTGTAGTGGAGGTTTTCTGGAATCGGGTGGATAGTGTAGCAGAACAGAGTATCCACACATGATGAGACATTCAGTGGGAAGTGAGTTTAGTCTGGACAACTCTCAAATGCAGGTAGAAAGATGGGCAGCATTTTAACTCTCTCACCATGGAAATGCTTTTAAAAAAATGGACCATAGTGAGGAAACAGCGGTCTGAATACAATTAACCCAGATCTGTAAAATAGATGTATAACAAAAGTTTTGAAACAAGACCGAAAGCCAAAAGTGGACAAACAACTAGAACTTTATGCTGGTGAATGCAAAGAGAAAGAAGACCAGTTTCTCCCACCTTATACTTGAACAGAATCAGATAATTGCTGAATAATGACCAACACACAGAAAAGATTCCCTGGTTGAATTTTATAGAGAGAGAATAAAAGTGAGACATGCCAAGTGTGCCTACAGCTGGAGATTAGGTTATTCAGTTGGAGGAAGACTAAATGAGTTATGGAAAAATAGGAAGACTAACTTTTCTCTTCCTTCTCTCCCCTTTTCACTTCTCTTTTATTTTCCCTTTCTCTTCTCTACTTCTCTTTTTTCTCTGTCCTTCATTTCTTCCCTGTCTCTGCCTTCTCCTTCTCTTCTTACCTCCATATCAGTTAACTGGAAATGTCACCTAAAATAAAAAAGTAGAAACATTATTTCTCATTTAGTAATACAGTTATAGAACACAACATTTGTTGGCGGGGATGAAGTTTCATGCTGTGTCTTATTGTGGTCTTTCAGTGTATGACATTGTGAAGAACTACACAGCAGACTATGACAAGACCTTGATCTACAACAAAATTCACCATGAGCTCAATCAGTTCTGCAGCATTCACAACCTCCAGGAGGTTTATATTGATCTCTTTGGTAAGTGGTCTGAATATTAAAGTATAATCTAAATGCCAGTGCAATATGAATGTAACAGTATAGCTTGTAAAAGGTAATATAAATGTAACATTGTTATATGAATATACAATTGTAATGTAAGTGTAGTGCCAAATACAATATAAAATCCGACTAGAAAGCTTGACAGAGGAAATGCAAAAGATGCGTAGAAATACAATTAAACGTTTTGACCAAAGTCTTTATCAGCGGAAAACTACAACGCAAACTGCAAACTGATGGGGTGGCGGTGGGGATTCTACCTCTCAGCAAGAAAACACACAGGGAAATTAACAGAATTGGCTTCCCTTGGGAAAATACCTAGTAATGAATGTAGAGGAAATCAGAAAATGGGGCATATATATGGTTTGAACAACTGGGCAAGAAATAATAATATAAGCAGCATAAACTTTTAGATTATAGATTAGGAAGTGGAAAGTCATGGCTGCCAGATTCAGCTACAGGTTAGGCACTTGAAGAAGAAGATCATAATAAGAACATGACTATGATAACAGTTGTTATTTATAAGTAGTTAGTCATGTGCAGGACATGACGGATATTAAACTAGGATAAGCATACAGATACTGGTTGCGGAGGATAAAAAAAAGAGATATGTAAATCAGCTCCTACTAGGTACATTAGGCATGGAGTCTGAGGTGGCTGCTGCAACTGAGGATGAAGCATGAATCGGTCAGACCAGTGTCAGTACGAACAAGAAGCTAGTAATGTGACTATTCTTAGGATGAACCCAGTACCAGAGCACCAAGAATTGGCTCTGTGTTTATGGAAGCGTCCTTGGATGGTGGGGTATGCTCATGTTCTGTCCTCACCTCCTCTTGACACCTGACCAGCAATACTTGGCAGCTCTGGACAGGCCTGATAGGTGGCACCACCTGTGGACTAGGAAACATAAATAACCACACAGAAATGAGACTGCAGTGTCCCACGAAACTCACTGGGAAGGCTAACCTGAGCACCAAATGCCTGCAGAAGTTGGATGTGTCTGCTGAAAGGCACTAATATCGCAGCTTTATTGTAAATGGGCACAACACGTTTATATCTGTGAATGAACAAAGAAGTAGAAGAAATGTGTGTTTAATTTAATATTTAAAAAATTACAAGATAAATGCATTACTATAAGAACAAATAAAATGTTTTTTCAGTATATTACATTTATAGCAAGATCTACTGGCCTGTCCAGAACGATACTATATGCTCTTGTGAGGAGAAGAAGTGGACCAAGAAAGACATGGGTACACAATTTGATTGAATGGACAGGCTGCGAACAACAAGCTCATAACATCTGACCGACTCACAGAGGGGCAGGGAGCTGATCAGTCGGTCAACAACATCTGCAGCGATACACTGTTATGGGATGATAATGATAGCAGTTATTATTTATAATTAATTTAAAAGAAGTAACAACATAAAATGCATGACTATAAGAACACTTGTTATATTGTCTTTAATATAAAAAGTTACATCAATAATACATTGCTCTATTAAGAGTTTCTGTTCATGATCTGCATATTTTCAGACCAAATTGATGAAAATTTGCGTAAGGCATTGCAGTCTGATTTGTATGAGATGGCACCAGGCCTTACAGTCCAGGCAGTTCGAGTCACAAAACCCAAGATACCTGAACAGATTCGCAAGAATTATGAAGCCATGTATGTTCTGCCATTTCACATTTTTGGGGGTCTTTGCTCATGGAAAACTTTACATTTATAATGGCTTCTTTAAAATAACGAGGATTATGTAGCCAAGGGGTTTGAATGCTTCTTTCATGGGATATATCATCTCTTTGATTACAATTGGAGTTTTAGCCTTTTTAAGATGAAAGTGGCTAAAGTCAAAAACTGCTTTCATTGCTCTGGTTTTTATCACATTTGGCTCAGCTCTGTCCACAGAACAGATAGCTTCCTGCTGAGAGTATTTAACAAAGCACGAACTCCGTTGCTCCCGTGATGATCCCCAGGGATCTCCCCAGAAACTGCAATCATAAACTGAACGGAGCCTCTCTGAAATGAACCCATGACCTTGAGATTGTGAGGCAAACAGCTTCACCACTTAGACACCCCCCCCCCCCCCCCCAATTAAAAATCTTAGCCTATGCACAGTGTATGGCAACTGCTTTGGTAAGTAGCCCCAATACCCCTGTCCAAAACTCAATTCCTTCCACTGACCGATCCTAGGAGATGAAAGCTATACTTCAAATGCCATTGTGCATTTTTATAAGTTTTTGTGTTGCAAAACTGTTGCAGTGTTTATTATTATGAAAATGTAATTTCTGTTTTGCTTAATATTGCATATATATCAACTTTGTTTTCTCTGTTAAGGGAGGGAGAGAAGACAAAACTTTTGATTGCTACTCAGAAACAGAAAGTGGTTGAGAAAGAAGCTGAAACAGACAGAAAGAGAGCAGTTATCGGTAAAGTTGTGCTTATGATTAATTTTAGTGGTGTTGTTGTTTTGCGACTATAATGAATGATGTTTAATAAGGCCATTGTAAGAAAGAAGGTGCTCAGTTTGTTTCAATGTTTTTATTTGGGGAGGGGAGGGTGGTTAGATTCAAATGCTCACAATCCCCCCTCCCCCACTCCTCATGTAGATTAATTAGAAGTCTTCCTTTCACAGAGAGGAACCAGTAGTCTGCATTCAAATACGCCAGATCTGTAAAATTGATGTGCACAGAAAACTCAAGTTCTGGAACAAGACCAAAGTTTAGAAGTGGATGAACAATCAGAACTTTCCACCTGAGTTTACAGCTGGTGAACACGAAGAAGAAAGTGTGAAATGTTAAGTCTTCACACATTCTAGACCACAATATGCGAGTCTTTCGATGGGAAAAATACCTGAGGATGGATGTAGAGGTAAATGCAGATTGAAATAGACATATATTTATTCAGGTGGGGTATACTATTTGAGAAAACAAGAATGCGAGCGCTGGCATCTTCAGAAGGCACAAGAACTATGGGGCCCCAATGAGGACCTTAAGCAGGAATAGACATATGGGAGATACCTGTAGAAAAAGGCAGTAATAGAAAAATCATTGAAAAGACAATGCCAGCTATAAATCTATAGAAATTTTATAACTTCATCCTTTCGATCGGGACACATGTATCATGATCAATGGTCTCAATTCTTCGAGGAAGAAACTGAAAAGAGTTTTTTTATTTTTTGCTGTGTTGTGTTAGAATGGTAACTTGATTTGGTTTTAATATGGCTAGTTTTAGTATGGTTAAAAACAAACAGGCACACTGTGATAATTTTTTCTTTGCATCCTCAGAGGCTGAAAAGGTTGCTCAGGTGTCCAAGATCCAGTGGGAACAGAAGATTATGGAAAAGGAATCTGAAAAAACCATGTCTCACATTGAAGGTAAGTGCTTCTGGGTTTTTTTTTTTTTTTTTTAACCTGGACATTGGGAATACAGTGTCTAGTTTTTGTATATCTGATAATGTCTGAATATAACAGTGTAAGATGAATGTAGTATGAATGTCACAGTTTTTGTACATGAAAAAATAAGATATCCCATTGAAAAAAAGCCGTAAGCATCTTTTGGAGCAACAATTAATATAAGACCCTGTTTGTTTTTCATTTAGGGAAACACAGTAATAATAATTTTGCTTCTCTGTGTATTTTAGATGACACTCATTTAGCAAAAGAGAAAGCAAAGGCAGATGCAGAGTTTTATCGAGCTGAGAGGGAAGCATTATCAAACAAAGTAAGTTGGACATTATGTATTCGTATGAAAAATAATATTGTTAGTTAGTTATTCAGTCAGCCAGCCACCTTTCCAATTTAACGGCAAATAGAGAACACATTAATTGCTCAGTTCCTGTACCAGCGAAAGCAGTCAGATTGCCTATCACTGAGCCTTGTGGAAAAATTCAAGCAGACGTAGTCTTGACAAAGCTAATTGTATACACATGCCTCAGATGCATTAGACAACCATTGGAAATGCAAATGCAAACAGGCACTTATTCACTAACAGAAGCACCACATAGCAAATGAGCAGTTGCACATATTGTTAGTAGCCTTTATCATAGCTTTAGTGACTGAGCTAGTGCACACACATGCACAAAAGCAATTGAGAAGTTGTTTGCAAGGAAGCTCAGATCTAAATACGACAATTTACTTTCTTTTGGCATGTCATAAGAAGGGGAAAACTGAAATGTCGCAAAAATGTGCATGTTAATTGAACGAAAATCAACTAGGGACTTTGGCTAATGGAAATACACATTAAAAAAGGACAAACAATGCACATTCCTTTGGCGCATCCTGAAGTGGGCAAGATGAAGTCATGAAGTATGTCATGACGGTGGGAAAAGGTGAAGAGAGACATAGGGTGATCAAGAAAGAAGATGAAGACAAAAGAGCAGCTAGGTGCAACTTGTTTGTGTACGGAAACACATTAAAAAAAATTTTGGTTTATCATGAGATGGGGAAAACTGAAGTATGATAAGACATTATGAAAGTTAACTCTTTCAGGCCCGTGAATTTTGACAGACTTGGCCGACATTAACTTCCCTTTACAAAAATGGCAGAGAGGTGGGTGTACAAGAAAGGCAGTAAAGAATGTAATATACTTCTAATCCTAAAAAAAGTATATATTTTTTAAAAGAAAAATTAATGTACATTTTAAATCTGATAAGTGTATGTTTAATTTGTTTATAGTTAGTAGGAAAGAAGAATTCAGCTGGTATTAATCTCACAACATTTTACAAACAAAATCTTCACTTGCCATGATTTTTTTGCAGCCACATGAGTAGTGAGTATTAAAATTTGGGACAAAACTTCAAAGTTTATTTAATTTCCTAACAAATTCCAAAGTTATGGTACGTTCCTGGGTTAGTTTAGCACTCAGGGGCTCTTAGTTCTCACAGAGGGCTGAGCAAAATTTCAGAGGAAAAATGAGCCATTACACACATGCTATTTACTTTGTACAGTTATATACAGACTGTAACTGCAATGATTTCAGTGTAGCTTAGCCATAGTATAGTACAATCTCTTTGTTTAGAGCACTTTCCTTCTCTTGCACCATATATGCGGTATCATTATCAGAAATAAAAATATCAGACTGAAACAATTTCAGAGCTTCGGCCGCAGAAAGACGCATTCTGCGACCTGTACTTGTGGTGGGAACATTGGTATTCATGACACTCAAAAACGAACTTAGAAAATGTACTGTTGAAAAAAATTTCGCTGTCAATCCGATCAAATTATGCACATGTGGTTTCTGATAGGGAAAGTATCTGAAAAGATTTCAGCAGAGTGACTTTCCCTGAATAGTTTAATCGTACTTCCGAACATTAGAAACAAGTATGGAGCCATGTGCGAAGCAAAATGTACGGGATACACGATCGACGATGACAGCGTTTGTTTTCTGCAAAACGGAACTTCTCAATCAGCGCTCACACTGTTGCTTAGGCCTTAAGGATTTAAAAGGCGAGGAGTGACAGAGGGGGGTCAAGAAAGAAGAAGGAACATTTTGACAGGTGTGCCATGGAAGAACAGGGTGTGAAAGAAATGACATAGCAAACATGACAGAAGGCTGTTGATAAACAATAAACATGATTACCAAACACCTCATAGCATTGAATATAAGAAAAAGTACATTTGATATATGACCAGCCACTTGTTTGATTTGAGAGCCGCTGTGGTGTAGCGGCTAGACACTTGCCTGCAGACCGGAAGGACATGGGTTCAGGTGCTGACAGCCGGACTTTTTTTCAAAAGCAACCACAGGGGCATAGGAATAAAGGAAGGCCAAAAAACACATGGAGAAGAGAGCTGGAGAACGAGGTTAGAAAGATTGGGAGGACATGGGGAGAGCTCCATGCAATGGCGAAGGATAGAATGACTTAGCGTGAGTTGGTTGAGGGCCTATGCTCCATTGGGGGATAGAAAGGCAGAACAAGAAGAAGAAGAGTGGGTATTAGTTAAGTCCTGGAAAGTAAAGGTGGCTGGCATGATGCTGACCACCCAGTGCCAATTGGTCTATAAAATATAGGTTCAGTTCTATATGCCCAAAACACCTGAAAGCATAGAAAAGGATCCTTTACTTTTACCTGTTTGATTTTAATCTACAGGTGAAACTGACCAAAGAGTACTTGGAGATGTTGAAATACCAAGCAATTAGCAGCAACACAAAGATTTACTTTGGCAACAGTTTGCCTAGTGTATTTCTGGATCCCATAGTCACTACCGGAAGTACAATTTCTGACAGTTCGGCATCAAAAGTTGATGAGGTAATTGAAATATATACTCTTCTTCTTTTTATTTGTTTTATTCTCCTTGCCTCTTTTCATTCTGCTTGCCACTTCCCCTGTGGGTTCCGGGGCTTCATTTTGGAAGTAAAAGAATGGACCCACTGCCCCTTCCCTCCCCAACAAGCTTGACTGATTAGGGATGCTTCCTTCGAAGACTGAGTGCATTTGCTAGAGAGGCAAGAAACCAACATTCTGCTTACAAATAAATCAGATCTGTAAAATTGGTATGTATGCCCTCCACTCTCTCACACCCACCCTCCTCTCCTCACCCCTCCTTCCAGCAGCATGCCAACCACATTTTAAGCAAGAATACAGAAGAAGGCGAATGTTGTGTTAATATCTGGAATAGTGCAAAGGAGACAATCATTATTAGTTCCTAGAGATGAAAACACTGCGCCCCTGGCTTTGGAAACAACGTCTGCTTTGACTGTGCAGGAGAGGCAGTTTCTCCCTCGTCATAATTCTAACAGTAAGGCTATAGGTAAATTTAGACTCAAAATGACTTTGAAACAGCTTTAACACTATCCAGGTGCACAGAACCTAGCACTGTTGATTAGGCTTCTCGGGGACAAGCCATAGAAAAAATGCTGGGTAAATGGCATTTACAGGTTGAATTGCTGATGGAAATGCCGGTTTTGTGGATTCTGGGAGTGACAGAGTTAAAGAGGATGTAAACACATGAACATCCGGCCATGGGATGAGCATACTAGCCACTGTGCTACCATGGCTGCCATATTCCAGTGTAAGGAATAAATAAAGGACCCTTTTTACACTAGTGGCACATTGGGCATATGATGCTAGATTCTCATAACTTAACCTGGTACCTGTTTTAGACTGGGTTGGCCTGGGGTCCAAGATCATATAAAAACCCAAAAAAATCGGACTTGATGCTGATTTGAACCTAAGTTCAATGGGTAAAGCATGAAAGATTTATGCTGGTGCCAGCAGAATGTGTACTTTCTATTTAAACTATGAGTCAGTAATGCATTATTCCTAGATGGGGAAACCAATTCTTAAGGATCTTGAAACTTGTCCATATTGACATCCTGACACAATGGTCCAACCCACTCCTGCTCCAGCTTTTGATGCAGCAGCAATCTATATTTGCACGTCCAGCAGACCTAGTAGGAGTTGACTTGCATATCTTTTTTTCTTTGTTGCACAACTAGTTTCTACATGCTTGTCTTTGTTTATTGCCCATTTCCAACAGGCGGTTCTCCATCTCTGACTTCTCTTTGGAACTCAACACATTCAGTGTGTCTGCCCTGTCCATACTTCTTTCTCCATTAACCAATGCAGACATGGCCATCTGTTGGCTCTTTAATTTTCTTTCACCCCAGGGTATACAACCAAGATAGTTTTTTTTTTTTTTCTGAATGCTGTCAGCCTATTCTAGTCGGAGTTTGGATTTTCTTTAGGATCCAAACACAGAAGAGGATGGCTCATAAACAGTATCGTGTTTAAAAAAAAATATTTTTGTCATAATGAACACCATCATGGTTTAGGGAGAATAGTAATAGGGGTATGGTTGTGGAAGAAGAGGCATGACTTTGGAACCCCCCCCCCCCCCCCCGAGATGAGAAAGTTGACAAAGCGCTGGGTGGTTTTCTGGCATGCCATGATGAGAGTATGTTCTGGAAAGGGCCTGCTACATGATAATGATGATGATTCATGTATTCCTTCTCATCTCTTTCATTCTCTTGTTGCTTTGTTTTACAGAGAAAGAAATGATAGAAGCCTGAGACATAGTGTGGTTGTGTGAGATCATCATATCTTCTGTCTGGACTGCCTTCACTACTCGGGGTGCCTTTGCTCAAGCAAGAATTCATCATTTGTCTGCATCACTTCTGCTAATTACATTTCCGAGTTCCACATTGCAAATATTACAAATATATTTCTAGATTTCACACAAAGAAGAGTATGAATGCTTTTCTGAATTGTTCATTACGGAGAGTAAGATTTTTACAGCAAACAAATATTAGCGCGTGGAAATATGATATCATGCTTGTATGTGTATCTTATTTGTGTCCATGTTTCAGCCAACTATAGAAATTGCTCTTGTGCTATAATTTTTATTTTTTATTTTTTTTATAGATAATTTAAACCTTTTCAGTCACAAAGTGATCAGCATTATTAACAAATTGGCATGTATTGGTAGGCATTGAAATCCTTTGGATTCTATGAGACCATTGAGGGTGGGGGGATTGACCTGCTCCTCCTCCACCCCCTCCCCCACCCCACCCCCGCATGTGATTCAAAAGCAACTAATTAGAGATGTTTCCTTCGTAGTTGCAGTGCATCCGCCTGAGAGGCGAACGAGGACCCGTTTTGTGTTGGTTTCCTTTTTCTTCTTTGGCTTCTTCCTGCAAAGTACTCTTGTCCTTTCGCACCCTTTTTAACTTGTTCTTTTTTGCAGTCTGATTATGGTGATACATTCAGTCAGCACTTGGTTCTCACAAGTCTTACTTCTCATAGTAGCTTTACCTGCCAGCCTATCAGCCTGCTCATTTCCTTGCACGCCTGCATGCTCTACCATGAATATGGAACCGATTTTTGTCAGCCCCGCCACTTCAGAGACTGCAGCTACTGTCTTAGGACCCACTCCATCTCTATCTTCTTGATCATACTCATTGGGTCACTAAAAACGCATGTGTGGGTAAAGGTCTATGTATCCAACCATGTTATTGCTTTGGTCACTGCCATGACCTCCATAGTCGGACTACTTGTGGTCAAGGCAACTGCACCATAATCTTGCCTCACAATTCTAACTCCAGCCTGAACCATAAAAGCCTGCAAGCTTCGCACATGCCAACCAGAGACCCATCAGTGTAAATGACAGCATTCCCCTCCAGAGAATTCTCGAAAATCAAAACCTGCATTTTTGCCTCTATCAAGCTGGCTACAGTGTATCCACAGCTAACAATAGGAACATTATGGAGTGAGATCCCTATCTCTTCCACAGTGGGACACTCATACCACTTTCTGAAAGGGAACGGCACCTTGCAGCAGCAACAAATTTACTCTGTTGCATAGCCACAGCTCTGTATCTATGAGTAGATGCCATTTTGTTTATCTTACTTTTTTAAGTGGCCTCGATGGTTCTCAATGGATTTATTTTTGTGTAGTCACTAAATAATGCATTTTGTTGTAGCCTTTTTATAAATTTGATTCTCACATATAAATATTTATTTATAGTGGTTGAAAAGACCAGAGCTCCCTGTAAACATGATTTACTCACGGGATCAGATTTTGATTAACGCTTGCTGTCACAGGGAAGTGCATATGATAAACACATAATGTTGCATTTTATTGATTGTTTTTCACAGAAATCATTTTAACAAAATTGCATTAGATCTTTTCAGTTCTTGTTGATTATTGTGATAGGTCGTAAGAAATGTTCTGTTTATTATTTTTTTAATTACTGGAAATGTAATTTTAAATAATAAATGTAACCATGTCATGTAAGTTGTCATCATCCCAAACATGTTTGACCAATTATTGTAAATGTCTGAAGTGGTGACTGTCACTGACAGCTGAGTGCTTTAATGGTAATAATCATTCATGATCACCTGTGTTAGCAAGTGTAATTTTAATGTGGTAATACATAACTAATAGAGTTAAGTGAAATTGAAGAAGAGAAGGTCGACTTCTTTGCCCCAGCTTATTCTCTATGGCTTGGTTAGTCTCAGCAGAATAACTAACCACCTGCCGAGAGTGTCACACCTAGCATGAACTCCCTAGCTCCAGCGACGATCAACTGGGATCTACATTAAGTTGTACTCATGAACTGTGTGACTTCCAGAGAGTGAGGCATATGACTTAACTTCATAGATGAGGTGGGCCCCCCCCCCCCCACACACACCCCCATGATATAGCATTTAAACCACATAACATTCTCTGATGGAAATGTACTGGCACAGTGACAACCAAGATAGTCAGGAGACATTTAATAAAAGAACAGTACATAGACTGGAATAATTCCAGCCCAGACATAAGTAGCTACAGAAATGAGTAAAATTGGAGCAACATTTTCAATTCTTTTTATCGTTTTGTGGGTTCCAGGACTCCGTTTTTGTGTGTGTTAGAAAATAAATTACAGCAAGATTGTCATTGTTAAAGGGTTTGCTGAAACCTGGATATGTTGGGCTGGAAGGTACGGATATCATAGCCTTGCTGTAAACCACAGTACAACATGCCACCTCCCTTTTTAAAGACAAACACGGAAGAATAAGTTTTGTGTCATACAGCGGCTGTTAAGACATAACAGTGATGATATTAATCATCATTTGCATTTACAGGCACTTTGGTGGTTAGAAAAGAAACTAACAGAGAACAATTTGAACTCACCACCCATACCTGAAGTATTATCATATCACTAGACGGTTAGTAGTGAAATGGCTAGACACTTGCCTGCTGTTATAAAAGTGCTAGGTTTGATTTTACATCGAATCAGGTTTTAGACAAAATGACTTTGTCTCCCAAAGTCAGCCCATTCTAAAATGGATACCAGACAAAAGCCCTGAGAAGTAAAGTCTAACCCGGCGTGCTACTGGTGTGAGAAGGGTACCTTACTTTCTACAATAAGATGTGAACTATCTCTTCCCTTAAACCCAAGATGCAGGGGGATCACTCCACAATAGTGCATTTAAATTTTTCTTGTCCCCCATTGTTTTGATTTTTTTTTTTTTCATTCACTGGTTGTAAACACCAGAGGAAAGTTCTGGTTGTTCGTCCACCTCTGGACTTAGTCTTGATCCAGAACCTGAGTGCTGCTTACACAACCATTTTTTAGATTTGTTTTTTGTGCATGCAGACTCTTGGTTTCTTGCCTGTCGGGCAGATGCACTTCAACTTTGAAGGAAGGCCCTAATTAATCTGCTCTTATGGCATGCTTGTTGGGGAGGCAGTGGGTCTATTCTTGTTCTCTCTCTCTCTCTCTCTCTCCCCCCCCTCCACAGTGGGGCCTCTAGAACCCGCATGAGAATTTCTTCCAATTTATGTCATTCTCATGGCATAAATGAAAAAAGAAATATTTCTGACATAAAAATAGCTTGTACAAAAATTACAAATGTTCCAGCAAACTGGCCTATAAGTCTGGCCTCACAGTGTTAGATTTTAAAAAAAAAACACATAGTTTTGTTCTCCTTGACTTGTATTAGTAATCCTCGTTTAAGTTCCATGCTCTGTAGTTGGAAAAATACGAATAGACCCACTGCCTCCCCAACAAACATGTCGTAGGAGTTGACTAATTTGGAGCTTTCTTCGAACCTGAGAGGCAAAGAGCCAACAGTCTGCATACAAATAAGTCAGATCATTAAAATAGAGGTGGATGAACAACTAGGACTTTGTGCCAGTAAATGGGAAGAAGAAGTATTAGTCTAGACCAACTGTTCTCAAATTGGGTGCAGCAAGCGTATGCCAGGGGTGCCGCGACAGTAATCAAGAATTATTCAAAATCTGCCTGAGATCAGCGAAGACAGCAGTTTAAAACAAAAATACTATGAAGGAAGCCAAGAAGAGTTCTGGATGCTGGTGTATTCAGAAAACAATGCTACTGACAAGGCTGCAGTGCATTCTCAACGTACGCTTACATAAAAAAAACTGATACAGGAGCAAACTTCACGTAATTTGAGGATACAGTTGACTAAACTTCTCAAACAAAAAAGAAATAATGAAAAATTCATCCACACAGTTTCATTCACCACATTAAAGACAACTGAACATTAAATTTGCACTGTTTTTTTTGTTCTTTTCCTTAGTATTCAAACCCCTTTAAGGGTAGGTATGCCGCACAATTTTTTTTTTGCCCGACAAGGGTGTGGCTGCGAAGAAAGTTTGAAAAACACTGGTCTATACACAGAAAATGGGAGCTACAGTAGTATAGTGGCTAGATGCTTTCCTGCTGGCCTGAAGGTTCCAATCCCCATCAGGCTGATTTTAATTTTCATTTTTTAATACACCTTGGCTGTCAGGTTGACCCATCCAAAAATGGGTAGCAGTAATTTCATGGGAAGTAAAGGCAGCTGTTTGATGCTAAACAAATCACCCACCAAATGCTGATTGGTTTTTAAACATATTATATCAGGCATAGAATGCCTGATATGGCCACAGTCAACCTAGAAATAGGCTTGACGTCTTCCCTCGAAGTCGGAGTACATCTGCCGGAGAGGCGGGGAATGAGAACTGCAAACAAATAAGCCAGTAAAACGGATGTACACGCAAAACTCAGGTCAAGGTAAAAGCCAAAAGTCCATTTGGACGAACAACCGCGACTTACCGCCGGAATTCACAGCCGGTGAACAAGAAGAAGAAGAATGCCTGATGCACCAGTGACATAAAAAAGGTCCTTTACACACACACACCCAGACAGACCTTTAAAATTTAGATTAGTCATGTAAATGGGAAAACAGACTTACTGTTTAAGGTCCATCGGTTAAAGGAAGAGGATAACAGACAAACCCACTAAGGGTACATCAGTGATATGAGACAAACTATGAGGTACTGGTGAAGACTTCAAGAGACTGTCCTGTTTGTGACCCCATATCAAAATAAATGCATAGCGAACATTTATCGCTGAAAAAGATGATATGGAAAATAGAGAGGCTTATTAAGGACACTAAGTTACAGAAAAGAGGAAATTGATAGGCTCATCTAAAAGTTCATCAGTTATGGAAAAGAGAAAACAGACAGACCTGTCCTTTGAGTATACATTCGTTTTTTAGAAGGGAAAC